CAGGCAGCTGTGTGCGCTTTCTCTCTCGCTCGCACACATGCGCGCTCTCTGCAGGCGTATGCGTGCGAGTGTGTGTGTGCGTGTGTGTGTGCGTGCGTGTGACCAGCTGGCCTGCAAGCAATGGCGTTTGTGTTCGCCCCGCCTACCGCGCGCGCGTTTTGTGCGCGTTTTTTGTCGCCGTGGGCCTTTCGGGCCCAGCTTAGGGCAAAAACATTTCCAAAGTCAAAACAGTTGTGAAAATTGTCGAGTAAAATTTCAATTTCGTTACAGTTGCAATCGCTGAAAATGCACTTAACCTCAAATCCAATAATCCGCTTGTAATGCAGTTTCATTCAAATGCGCTCCGACTACCGCTGGCCAGTGTCCTTTGTGTGCATGTCCTGCGGCGTTTTTCAATTTGAATACCTATGCGGGCAAGAGCATCTATGTTGTGTGTGTGTGTAAAGTGTTGACCTCGGCGGGTAATCGTTCTATTATTAATGGACATTTGCCTTCGCACAATGTCACAGTAGCATACCCTGCCGACTTGGCTACCGACTAGATTTGATTTACCTGCCCAGGATTAGTTCGATTTCACTTTGGGATTTCTATGCAAATCAAGCGGGCTATTCAATGATAATATTGTGGACAAATATAGAAATAAGTACGAATGGTATCAAATGCAAAGTTATTTCAATGTTCTTCCGGAATTATAAAAAAAAGTGATGTATATAAAAATAAATAAAATTTGCTTTCCGCCCTTTGCTCTAAAATTCAGTTTTAGTCAAAAATCATTGTACATATTCCTTGAATCATTTCACTTTTTATTTAATTTGGTAAAAGTTCTTTAAAATGTTATTGCTGTGCTAAATTCAAGAAATATGTTTCCTTTTGGGTTTGCTTGAACGAACGAAATTTTCTTAAATTTGCCATGTGACACGCTTTAAGGCTTATGACAGATTTACAAGACGAAATCGTCTTAGGATTCGTCAGATTTGTGCAAGCGAGCGCAAATAATACGTGAAAATCTGTAACAATTGTCGGTAGCGGCACGCTCCCTAGGGCCAAAAGCCTGCCCATTGACCGGGCCGTGCCTTGATCCGCCTGTCTTCGGTCTTCCTTGGCTTCCTGTCGAGAAATGAGGCACAAACATAAGTGGCTCGGCTCGCCCAAGTCAAATGCAAATTGAAATGTACGAAAGCGGAACAATGACTGGTTAGAATTCTGCAGAATGTCCACAATGCTGCCGAGGATTCCCGATGCTGCTGGCAAAAGCCTTTTCACACTTATCAATGCCGGACTTTGTTGGCCATTGAATGGCAAAGTTGGCAAAGGCTGAGCTGAATGGCAACGGTAGGAGAACGCAATTGAGCCGGGCACTGTGACTCCTATGGTGCAATTATGATGGAAAGGTGCTAATAATAACCGATAAATTCATGTTTACCTAACAGCCCGGGCTCCTGGTCAGCTGTCAAGTGTCTGTGTGTGATGAATGAATGAATGGATGCATGAATGCATGAATTGCCAACTTGCATGAATGATGAACTCTGCATGTTTGAAGTGCCCTAAAAATGCAGTTGTAGTAGGTGTCTGACACAGGGTCTAGCTCTGCCTCAATCTGGCCCAACTTTGCGATTGTTGCATTTGCCAAACATTGCGGGGGAAAATTGCGCTACATATGATTGATCGGCCATATTTTCCGCTCGCGCAATTTTCTATAACAAAAATGCACAAAAAAATTACATTTGTTTTTCGATAAAAAAGGAAAGAATATGTTGGCTTCATAATGAGTGCATGCCAATTGTTTGATTGATGAGCAGCATACGATGGTGCTACAATAAAAACTAGATTCTATATATCGTACATATAATGTGCATATGGATGCGAAGCAGAAGAGACTTTCGATCGCAGCACAGAGAGTCTGTGCTCTTATGTAAAATGTTGCGAAACCGCAAAAACTACTATAAATTGACATCATAAATTAAAATTAATTCCACCCTTCTTCACATGGGCGCTCCACCAGGCCAAACCCAGTCACAGCCCTCGTTGCGGCAATGGACTTTTTTGGGAGGGTTGGCCCTCTGGGGTTGGTGCGTGAAAAACCCAAAAGCCAGAGGCCCGTCAAGCGGCTGAAAAAGGAAAAAAGGGGCGAGCACACAGCCATCAACACGATTATTTCGCATAAAATAAATTGATTCCTGTTAAAAGTCAAGCATGTCCCTTGAAGCTAGAAAAGGAACTATACGCAGAGACAAACACACTCGGATAAACGGAGACAAACCGAAAACAGCGCTTGAAAAATGTCGAAATTTGTCCACAATAAGTTCTTTATTGAGTCGCCATAGACAAAGGATTACCTTGCCGCTATAAACCACGGCCAAGACCGAGCCACTCGCCACTCGCCACTCGACCCAGCGAAACTGTAGACAATGAGACAATAGTTGAAAGACGGGGAAAAACTGTGCCACATCTTTGGCTTGAATTGCGGCAGGCAACCGCATCTGTAGCGGGGCTGTTCCGACACCTTTGCCTTGACACCTCCTTCCCTTTTTGAGCGTTTTGTCCTGCCATCTATTCAATTCAATAGAAAGTGGCATATAAATAATGATGAGCGAGCCAATTTTGGGCAGTTGCGTCAAGAGCAAAGTCGAGCCGAAGCCTCTTTTGTTTTGTTTTATCGGTTTGCTGTGGCTCTGACAATCCCAAAATGCGACATGTCCTCAAATGCGGTCGCCAAGTTGGTTGGCTGGCTCTCGTCCTGGCCCAGACGCTCGGTCGCCGCTCAAATTGAGCGTATGAAATTGATTAGCCAACGCATTTTAGTTACAATATTTGTATTTAGTTTATAAACTAATTCGATATTCGGTGGCCCATTAACAAAGTGGCGTGCGTGAAGCATGTGCGATGCCACCTACAGAGCTGAGCTGGATTCATTGACAAGGATCAATGTCGCTATGGCTGGGTACGTGCGCCCTTAAATAGTTCAGTTGGTTTGCTGGAATAAGTTAAGGCAATGGTTAACAGGAGGTAGACTTCATACTTAAGTGCATTTATGAGTTGGGAAATCTCTGTGAACATTTTTTTTTGTATACTTAAAAGATGCTCCTTCTGAGCCTTTAGTGCTTTTAATGTGTTCTTTATAATGAGAATATTTTTTTAATATATACAAATTTGACTGATTGACTGACTGACTGACTGATTGAAGAGCTGGAAAACTGAAATTTGCACTGTAGTTACCTAATGTGATCAAGGCGCACGTTAAGACGGGATCACGGGAAATTCCACCCGCATACGTGGAGAAATCGCGAAAAACTTTTGTATGAAATGGGGGCCAAAGATTTGGTGGGTGACGTTTCATTTCATTTCGAAGTATATATATGGAAAATCATTTGAGCATGGCCGGGTATACCCGCTATTATCCTATATAGACATGAATCAAAATTTCCCACTTATATCACTCGGTCAAATCTCATCCGATTTCCATAACGCTTGGCTCTTTGCTCATGGCTTGATCTCGAAATCAAGCTGGCATCTAAATCTGGAAAGATTATTCTTGGTCAAAATTTATGTTTAGGTACTCTTAACTATACTATATAGACATAGGTCAAAATTTCACATCCCTCCGATTTCTACGATTTTTGGCTCTTTTGTCGTTTGTCGACATGGGTAAGAAGGGTATATTAAGTCATGCCGTGGGACGCGCCTACTTAAGTTTTTGACAGAAGAACGTTCAGGGTATCTCACAGTCGAGTAGAGCCATCTTACTTGTTAATACTGCTTTTACACTTCGGATAATCAGCTTTGACTTAATTACCAATCGCGACATTTTCAGTTTTCCCATGGCCTACTACAATGAATTCAAAATCGCCGCCAATTCACAATAGACAACTAATTCCGTCATTTACACTTCTGATTCGTGAATCAAAGTCATAATTCCACTTTACTGGAGTGTCAACTCAAAGAGGTGCAGCCGCTGTACCCGAAATTCCGAGAATTTCTTTAACTTTTGCACCATCCACTCGGCTGGCTACCAGTTTTTGTGGGACTGAGATTGAGACATAAACTGGAACCTGTTACAATTGAATGGCAGAGCGCAGCTGAAGGTAACGTCTCCCATTATTAATTGGCAGAATTGTCTATTTTGGAAGGTGTCAACAGGTAAATTCGTCATTGTCCTGGCGATTTTTTATACGCGCCGAGTGTACTGCATTGTTTTTGCAAGGCCTCTAGGCGGCGAGATCTGAGCGTGCCGCATGCAGCAATGTCACGTTGCACATCTGAGGAGCCGGCCGTTGGGTCGGCCGCAATGTAAAGGATAATGTGGCAAAATCCTGACAATTGATGTCCTTTGCCGGCACTTCAAACGACAACTGAGACATCGAACCCAAACGTTTGTTTGTTGTTTGCACAGCCAACACGGCCAACACTTGACGTTACGGCCTGGCGAGGGCGCATATAAATAATAATCAAACAAATATAAATGCCTCGCGGCCCATTGTTTGGCTCTAATGTCATTTTTCAGCCAAGGCATCAACTGAGCTCCGGAATCTCTATTGTTCATAACCGTGCGAGTTCTAATCAATTTGAATCAGCTTTTAAGCTAAAGACTCCATAAGCTGCCCATAGATGGCGCTGCAGCGGTCAGACCGCGCACGCACAGTCTCGCACTTCCCGAGCGTCACACTTTCACATTTCCTGTGCTGGCACTCGTGAGTCGTGTCTCCTCTCGCCTCTCGGCTGTGGTGAGTTTGGCCCCAATACTTTGACTTTTTGGTGCACCGAGAAGAAAAAACGGTGCTCTGCTGCGAAAATTTTGCATTGAGCAAAGTTAATTTTGTTCACAGTTTTAGATTAAGTAAACATTCATGTTGTATTTGATCTTGTTGTGCTGTCACCAAGAATTTGAAATGTTCTTGAACGATGCACTTATTTTTCACAGTGCAGCTGCCGTGCCATGCTCGTTGCAGACTTTGCGACGTTGGGCTCTGCTGTTAGTTTGCGCTGAACCGTCTCGCCAGGCGAAAGCAAAGCTTTGCTAGCTCGTGCGCGTTTCGAATCGCATAAAACACCTACTCATACACACACACACACACACACACAAACACGCAGACACACACGATACACTCCGTGACATCCAAGCCACACACACACACACACACACACAGCACACACACACGTCGAACTTTTGCATGGTGCCCAAGCAAAATATATTCAAATGAATTATTGTTAAATAATCGAGTTCATACTAAAGGTGGCAATGATAATGAAGCACAAGTAATGCGATTGCTGACACTCCGTGAGGGCCAAAACAATGTCTTAGCCTGTTTTCCAATGCAACGGTTTTCTTCTGTATCTGTTTTCCGCAACACCCACATTGCAAGCTACGAATAAGTAACAGAAGAACGCGAACGCTATTTAACAAAAGCTGATTATTCAATTCAATTTACAGTTAAAAGTGCTTATCTGAACGTTAAAACTACTGAAAAAATGGTAACTATAACCAAATGTGATTATGAAATTCCTCTGTGTGTGTGTGTGTGTGCTTGAATGGGAAATGCCTTGTACAAATTGTTTACAGTAGTCAAGTCCAAGTCAATTGCATTTTTGCCACAGCCTTCAATTGTCTGTCATTTAGCAAGTTTTCTGGCCCAAACACAAAGCCCAGAACCGAGCCTACATCACTTTTGCTTTTTTTTTTTGTTTAGTGTGGTAGGGTAGCGTAGGGTGCGGTGCGGTGCGGTGGGTTGTTCTGCTATCTTTTGTTTTAAGCCTTTAAGAAAAATATGATGTAAGCCCGAACGCCCAACAGCAACCACAATGCCAGCCATCGGAGGAACCCTTCACTTCCCTAGCCCCTGCCCACACAGTTAGTTAGCAGAGCCATTTATTTTTATAGCATGTGGCTGCAGCATCCACGCCAGCTCTAACTGTAACTGTAACTAACACACAAGCATACGCACACGCACACATCAGCAGCAGCAGCAGCAGCAGCGTATGAGTAAAAGCTTGAGGGGCAGCTGGCGGCGGCTGCGGCGGGACGTCCAACAAATCGATATATTGTGCGGCATGACCGAATGGCCCACAAGGCGGGCGCGCTGTGGCTGTGTGTTTTGCCTGTGGAGCTGGCTGCCCAGCCACCCGTTCAACGTAGTGTGGTGGCTTTGTTAGGTAGTCAGCCAGACGCCGCAGCTGTCGTAGACGTTGACGTCGACGTCGCTGCTCCTTTTGATACACTCACCCCGGCAGTTGATTTTGAGCTCGTCTTTTGTGGTGAAAACTTTCATTTGCTCTCTCGCACTCTGGCACTCTGGCACTCAGCTCTTCTGCGATTTGCGTCAAATTTGCGCTGTTATCAGACCCGCAAAAGCAAACAGCAGCAGCAGCAACAACAACTGCAACAACAACAACAACAATAACAGTTGTCAATAGCTAACAAATGGCTGTAATGCTACACAAATTTATTCAAAGACATTTATTGTTGTTGTCGCTTATGTAGTTTGTGTCACGATTTGCGCATTTTGTCAATAGACTTGAAGGAAAGCACATGATGTCATACGGACGAGTATAGCTATATGTATGTGTGTGTGTGTGTGTGTGTGTGTGTGTGTGCGTGTTGAATGGCGCCTTGAAAAGTATGCAGCATTTGTTGGCAGTTGGCAGACGGCTTTCGGAATGTTCCAATTCTTAACAGCGTCTGCTTTTGGCTTTGTTTATTCGCTGCTTATCAGTTGGCAAATGTGCCGCAGATTCTGAAAGTGAACACACACACATATACATTTACATATACATTTATATATGTGTGTGTATGCATATGTGCTTATTTAATTGCCTGAGTAAACAAATCGAGCTTAGCCTGTTTTAGGTGGGAATCTCACAGCTGACCTGGCTAAATTACCTTAAATCACATTTAATATTATTTTAATATAACATAGTCGAAGTTCAATAGTTTAGTCTGAGAATCTTTCAAGCATCAATGTGCACTAATGCCTAATGCCCATTTGGGTTAGTTTAAGCCTAACCAGGTATTTGTTGGCTATGGACACTTATTGAGAACTTGCGACTCGTTTACTAGCAAAACCCGCAGCTGGTTTAGTAATATTAGATTTCATGCCAGCTAAAAACGAGCTGCGACAGCCATGGGGTCTAGCATTGTTAGGCCTCGTGACAACGACCAGAACTGGCCAATGTGTTTTAGCCACAAAAGCCGGCTATTTAACCGACTGCAGTCGTTGCACTTATTATTGTTTTCCATTTGCTTTCAACTCGGGCCCAGCTCAGGTCTGGTATGTATCCAATTTCAAGTCAATCAGCTGCCAGTTTTAGATGCCAGTAGCAAAGCCAACTTGAGGCAGATGCAGTGGCAATAGACTTAATAAGCTTGCCACGAGCGTAACATAACAGTGAACTTATGTACATACATTATAATATATATACTTGCTAATATAAGCCCCTCTTCAAACACCCAGCACAAGATGTTTACAAAGCATTGGGTATGCTCTGTGGGTATAGCTACTATATGTTATAATTTGTAGACTAAACAGGCCATAGACTATAATATGGCTAACTTTGCCCGGCTCAAGGTTTATGCTTTAAGGTTTATCAATCAAGTTTCCACCTATTTGTCGCCCGTAAAAAACGCACTATGTTGAACTCCACTTCTTAAGTTTTGCTTCAAATTTATTTTTGAAAATTAGCTTAAAGTCCAACAAATAAAGAACCAAATTTTGAAATCCATATTTTCCGCCCATTTTTATCGCTTAGTGAGAACATTGACCCGAATCTAAGATAAAAAGTATCAAAACATGTCTCAAATGAATTCTCACAATGATCTTTGGAACTGAATTAGAACCCGCAACTTCGCCAACCAAATTTCTGACAGCCACTTCCACTAAGAAGAGATGGATTTTCCAAAAAGTGTGAAACAGCGATCAACTTAACTTCAACACAAATCTGTGAAATTGAAATTTCGGCTGGTAAACTAAAAAGTTTCGTACAGCCTTTTTTCACGCTTTTTCCACACTTGCGGGTGGAATTCCCTACAACCCAAGCGGTTAATAGCGAGCGTTTTCTCCAAATCAGAATATATTTTGTTATTTATTGTTAAAATGTCTTCAAATTCGGCCATTTTTTAAGAATTGAAACGAAGTGAATAAAGAACTTTACCGAATCGATTTGAAAATAAGATTTGAAACGGCTTGGATATTCCTACTTTATTAGATGAGTAGATAGATAGACAGATAAATAGATAGATAGATAGGTAGATAGATAGATGCGTAGATAGATAGATGGATAGATAGATAGATAGATATATAGATAGATAGATGGATAGACAGATAGATAGATAGATAGATAGATAGGTAGTTAGATGGGTAGATAGATATATAGATAGGCAGATAGTTAGATGAGCATAAATATAATATTTATTTGGCAACATAAGGAACAAGGGAAAGTTATTAAAGGAAAATAAGGTTTCAATAAAAAGTGTGTTGACAAGTAGCTTGTGGCAAAAAGCTAACAAATGTTTTATACATACAAGTGTTGCACTCTTTTGGGAGTTGAGCTTTAACATTTAATTGAATAAATATATATATACAAGTATAAATATATACTGCAAAATGATGAAATGTTTCCCTTGACTGCGCTGGTTTCAATCTGAGTAATATTTTGGTGGCTTTATGGAAGGCTTATGCCTTTAGTAGATAAAATATGTTTAATGCTTGAAAATTAAAATGTGATATAAATTATTTGATAAGTTTGGCCCAATCTAAAAGTGCTTACTTCAAGTATTGGGTATCTGATTGTCGAGCCTGCTTCAGCGCAGCATGTTTACTTCTAGTTTACCTGGCATTTAGTACATACTGTACATAAGTGGCTGTGAGTGCTTATGTGTGTGTGTGCGTGTGTGTGGGTGTGCGTGCGTATAGCTAAGAGCTTAGCTGAGAAAATGGCTGCCAGCGTTGCGACGTGTATTTATGTGAAGCATATAAGCCTCATAGTCTTTGCAGTTTTGTCTTTGGCACGCATTGTGTGCTTAGGCGGGCGTCTTGGCCGCCTCCAGCAATTGTTGTTAATTAACAGCAACAACAACAACAACGACAACAGCAAGCTACAGAGCAAGTGAATGTTAATCGAAAGCTAAAACACTTTCCTTGCAGATCGTGCGCCACCGATCCCGCCGCGCGCGCATGTTGAACATGGGCCTGTTGTTCCTGATCTATTACTGCGTGAGCATCTACTCGGCCAGGGGCCAGGACAACAAGCCGGATATACCCCTTGACGTTGGCAGCCTGCCCGAAGCGGCCGATGCCGACGTTATGCCCGAGAGTGAGAGTTCGACGCCCAATTATTTTCTGACCAGCGAAGTGAGCCACAAGTTTTGTTCTTCATTTGATTTGACAGCTAATTCGCATTTCTTTTGCCAGGCAAGTGACGCGGAGTCGGGCACAACCGCGGCCACGCCCATGCACGGCGCTGTGCCCACTTGGCGGCCGCGTCGCGATAATTGTACGCCGCCGGCCATAGAGCAGTTCCCGCAGCCGTTGATGAACAAATGGGCGCGTCAGCATGGCGGACTCATTCTACACATTCTGGTGGCCATCTATACGTTCTTTGGCCTGGCCATTGTGTGCGATGAGTACTTTGTGGCCAGCCTGGACAGGCTGTGCGAGGGTGAGCTACGTCCAAATATTGCCGCAAGCATTTAATTTACTCAAATCCTTGCAGAGCTCAAGCTGTCGCCGGACGTGGCGGGCGCAACATTCATGGCCGCCGGCAGCTCAGCTCCGGAGCTGGCCACCGTGGTGATTGGCGTGTTCTTTGCCAAGGACGACATTGGCATCAGTGGCGTCATTGGCTCCGCGGTCTTCAACATCATGTTTGTCATCTCGGTCTGCGCCCTGTGCTCCGGCACCGTTTGCCAGCTGAACTGGTGGCCACTCGTCCGTGATTGCTTCTTCTACTGCGTGTCCATATTGGTCATGCTGATAATCATCTTCAATGATGTCATCTCTTGCGTAAGTTCTGATACTTGTAAGACCATTAGAAACTTTTCAAGTAGAAATTGAAGGTTTTACTTAATCTAGACAGAGTTTTTGGCGGCATAAGTATGGGAACATTATTTGCCTCTATACACACACAATTACGCTTCTATATATAAAACTTTAATTTAAATATATAGACTAATTCTTTTCTAGAAATCTTAACACATAATATTTAATTACATTTGAAACCATAATCTTTATCAAAAGAGTTTTATGAGTGAATTGAAAATGGCTAAAAAGGCAATTTGCGAAAGTTTGTGTTACAGACAGATGGAAACATTAGACTCTATAGATTATGGTATATAAGGTATATATTCTCGATCAAGATGAGTCCATTTAGCCATGTCTGTCTAATTAAAAGACAAACTAAAGAAGAGATTTTTATAAATATTATATTTTCTCAATACCATACGCATTATGAGTTGATCGTTTTTTGTCAATATCTTCTCTCATTTCCAATATCTTCCCTCATCCGTGAATATTAGAAATAGTGCACTTCCCACATTCTCCCAAAGTTGAAAAAATCATAAATGAAACCAGTGTGAAATAGAGCTCAAATTAATTTCAACACAAATCTATGAAATTGAGTTTTCGAATAGTAAACTAAAAAGTTTCATATAACCGTTTTTCACGCGTTTTCCACACTTGCGGGTGGAATTTGAGACAACCCAAGCGCGCGTTTTCTCCAATACTTTATATCTATGCACTTAGGACTTTATCTGCATGATATAAATTCCTGCCTAATCATTTTCGAATTAAAATTGGGCTGTATTTAATGATTTAAAGAATTCTAAGAATTCTAAACGTGACCTATCCTATCCTATCAAAATATTTTGTTGACCAAGGACTAAAGAGGATTTTGTAGTCGAGTCCTTCACTTTTCAGCCTTAAAGTTCCTCCATCAAATTTCATTAATATCATACACAATTGAACTATTTTCCCTTTACAGGCTGAATCTGTGGTTATGCTGCTCTGCTATGTGCTTTACTGCATTGCCCTGCATTTCAATACGGAGCTGGAGCGCTGGGCGTTAGGCTTAAATCTGCCGTTCAAGCTGCCCAGCAAGGAGGAACAATCGGCCTTGGTCACCTACAAGAATGTGCCCGAAAGTTCGTACACACAGGGCACACAGCAGAAGGAATCGGAGACGAGTCCCCAGCAGCAGGCACAGCCATCGACACAGGGCGACTATCAGAGCTACAATGATCCGAATGCCAGCTGGGATCCGAATGCCGCCTGGGGCGAGGAGGGGCAGAGTCAGTCGCAGCCAACGGCCATCAGTGTTAAGGCCAGCCAACCGCCGGCGGTCGACGATTGGGGCATGAGTCAGTTTACCCAGGGACAAGGGCAAGAGAATATGGGCTATCATGCGGATCAGCCGGAACCTGTGGTAACTGGCGAAACGGCTCCAGCAGCGCCCAAGACTCAGGTTGCGGCAGCTCCGGCTGGCGTGGATTACTACAAGTCGACGGATAAACAACGTGAGCCACGCCCCGATCCGTTACTGCGACCCACAGAGGGCGGCATGCCAGCACTGGTGTCCTGGTATGTGGTCTATCCGATACACTTTTTATGCAAGAAGACAATGCCGGATTGCCGCCAGCTGCAGTATCGCAACTGGTATCCATTCACGTTCCTGATCTCGATGGTCTGGATCTCGTTCTACTCGTACTTCATGGTCTGGATGATAACGGTGATTGGCTCCACGCTGGCCATACCGGACACTGTGATGGGCCTGACGTTCGTAGCTGCTGGCGTTTCTGTGCCGGATGCCCTAAGCTCAATAGCCGTTATCAAAGAGGGCTACGGCGACATGGCCGTATCGAATGCGATTGGCTCAAATGTCTTTGATATACTAGTGTGCTTAGGTCTTCCATGGTTCATACAAACGGCCATCATTAAGCCCGGCTCGCACGTCAATGTTATATCCAAGGGTATGTACACATGTGGCCCTACTCCCAATAACTGCTTGCTGTTCAATTTTGTGGTATGCCTGGCATGTGGCTTAAATGCTTTAGCCAACGAGCTCACGAAATGCATTTAGATTAATCCGTTGCGTAATCTGCTTGCAGGTCTGGCCTATTCCACGCTCTCGCTCTTCTCCACCGTTGTCTTCTTGATATTGTCGACGCATCTGAATGGCTGGAAGCTGGACAAGCGCTTGGGCATCATACTGATGATCTGGTATTTGTTTTTCATAACGCTGGCGGCGCTCTACGAGATGAACGTCTTTGGTTACATGAACCCACCAGAGTGTCCCAGTGAGTAGCATCTGGCATCAGATATTTACTTCAAAATTTTCAACTCTTCCTTCTCCCCCTCCATTGCAGGCACCTACTAAACAACTGACTACCATCTGATCAGATTAAATAGCAGACAGCACCTAGATTCGCATCACCAGCACCAATTACGAGTACCATATACATATTTATAAGTACAGGCATACATACTACATACCAACATACGAAATCTTATACATACAGTACTTAGCCGCAGCAGCAAAAAGTGTACCAACAGGAACATGAATATATATATATGTATATATAGATATATACATAAATGCATACACACACATATATATAATTAATGTAAAGGTTACTCAAAGCGCATTTTACATGGATTTTTACATGCACCAAATGAACGAGAACGAATAATGAATATATATATATATATATCTACGATATATTAAAATAATAGAAAAAGATACACACATGTGTATTTATAAAAGACAAACTCCATATACAACAACAATTATAAGCATGTAGCACTGTAGATAGGGAGAATTGTATTAAATTAAGTACAAGTATAAACAAAACGGCAAATCAATGATATTTGTTGTCACGGTTTTATGGAACAACAACTAACTAACAGAAAAGGAACAACGCAAAATTTCAGATGAACTAAACACATCTCCCCCCTACCCCCACACACACAATCATCGTTAATATATGTTGTAAGTTAGGCATTGATTTTTGAGTTAAAATGTTTGGTTTTTCATTTAACTGAAATGCTTTGAACTTTGAACGTTAACGCTGTTACCTGCTGCTGCTTCTGGACCTGTGAACTGGGACAATCTGCGAGAATCTGGGAGAATCTGCGAGAACCTGCAAGAACCTGGAAGAAACTCGGAGTAAGTAGACGTGGTAGCAATGAATTTTATTACAAAGCCAATTAAGAAAAGATCAACGAATTTTGTTCAACTTGTTGTTATATGAATATATCGTATACTCTGTACCTTTATGGGGCATATCTAAGAATCCTGTCCGTCTGCTGTCGATCTCAAATGCAATCATTTCTGTATCATACGCAAACACTATTATAGAGCTTGATTAGTTTGAAATGTCTTGATGGATATTACGATGCTTAAAAGTTATCCCCGTTTGCTTGGTACAGGGTATTGCCTAGTCGAGCCAACCTGACTAGCGCATTCATAATTGATATTTTGGTTTAATTATGCATGCACATACATAAATAATGCAAGAATAGTTGAAAATAAAGGGATATTTATGTAGATATTTTTAAATGGATTAACGAGCATATTTTTTTTACAATTAAATATATTTACAATGTTAAACAATGAACGTCCTGAGTTTCACAGCATACGACCATAATTTAAAAAAAAACACAAAAAAAAAACCAAATTTAATCACATGCAACAATTGTATTAAACAATTTAATGCACATATTTCAACTTATAGCAATTAATGGCGTCAATTTTTTTACTGTAAATATATATATATACATATATTAATTCTATATGTATACAAATTAAATAATTCGATTAGTGTAAATTTATAGTCAATTTTTGGTGCAAATTACGTACGCATATTTATACACATTTGTGCAGTTTTTAACAATATAATAAATTATATGATTTGTAATTTTAGTTTTTGTTATAAATATATACATATACAAAAAAGTTACAAAATATATATATATATGAGAAAATACAACAAATCAAAAATAATAGTTAACCAAAGCACGCAATAAAATAATAATATACTTTAGGCTCATATGTTAAATTTGACATATTTCATTTGTTAAAAATATAATTTAAAACTAAAAACTGCCGTTTAACAGCACAAGAAACAAGAGAAAACACTTGGCTACGTGGTTGAGAACATTTCGGAATAATAAAAATAAAAAAGGAAACCTTTTTATACCCTGAGCCCATTAAAAATGGGTATAAGGGTATATTGTATTTGTGCAAAATCCAAATGTATGTAACAGGCAGAAGGAAGCATCTCCGACCCCATAAAGTATATATATTCTTGATCAGCATCAATAGCCGAGTCAATCTAGCCATGTCCGTCCGTCCGTCCGTCCGTCCGTCCGTATGTATGAACGCAAGGATCTCAGAACCTACAAGAGCTAGAGACTTAAATTTTCGATGTAGATGCTCCTAGTTCCCGCGCAGATCGAGTTTATTTCCGATAATCGATAACTTGCTCCGTTTCCAAGCAATCGATAAAAATCGATATCGTTATCCTGTTTTTTGGGCAATTTTGGTAAATAATAAGAGCTAGAGTCACCAAACTTGACATATAGCTTCTAAAATAGAATATATATATGCATTTGTTGTTGGAAGAATAGGGTTCAGGGTATTCCCTAGTCGGGAGCTCCCGACTAGAACCTCTTGTTTTAAATTAAAAGTCTTGAGCAATTGTTTCTAGGCTATTTTATATGAAATGGGGTATACCATGTTCTCTCTCACTCTCTAATTCCTTGCCAAGAGCCCAAGGATCGGGACTTTAAGACTTTAATTTCCTTAATGAACACAATTCTACAGTTTTCGAAGGAATACGCAAAGTTTTTTTATTTCCTTATGCTATTTTGGCATTTTTCAAATTGCTTTCACTTCGCGCCAGAAAATGTTTAAGCCAAAATGAAAATTGTATGGCTTGTAGGCTGTTTAACGGTGGTGCATTTAATATTATTAGGCCATATACGAATACCGTAATAATGTTGAATATTTTTATAAAATATGTTTCACTTGATTTAAGTTTTATATGCAACAAATGCTTGGTTCCCGGCCAAGTTTTAGGCATTGTTAGTGCAACATTTAGGTTTATGCTTTGCTAGAATTCCAACTAATGGTAATCATAACATAACTGAATCAGTATCATAATTTAGCTGCAAGCAAGGTATAAGACGAAAGATACTCGTGTACACATAATATATATATATACATACACCATATTTATTTAGCATAAAGATACAAAACCAACTAACATAGTGAGCAATGCACTGCTAAATGGTATGAATGGAGGCGCTCAAAACACAATCTAGTTACATAAACATATTTATACAAAACATTGAGAAACATACAATATATATATATATATATATGCCATACTTAGTGTATATACCTATGAATATGCATGACACAGAGAGCGTTCAGTTGAAATCCAAGTAATTGATTTCCTCTGATCCATCACGAAAACTTCCCTAAAACTAACTTTAAACAGTTGAAAACAAATATATATACCTATGAATTAAATTTCAACCAAAACAATAAATGTACGAACAATCGCCTATTGTCAACTCCTACATGCATACAAATACATGTTACATACATGCATACATGCATACATACCTTCTGCCATGACATACATATACATATATATATACTATAATATACTTCTATAGGCATTCCTCAAGTACAATGTTCTTCCCCACTCAAGCTACAAATATACATACGTAGTAGGAATACAATACATACATAGATACATACATACATACATAGATACATACATACATACATGCATACATACATGCGAACATATACTATATACTGAGTGCAATGTTAAAATAAAAAAAAACTGTTAATCGTTGCGAGTGTTTCGAGTAAATAGAGCAAAAGGCTAGTTGATGCATTTTACATACAACCTAAACAAACGAGTATGCATAGCTATTACATCGAACATCAAACTGACATAGAAACCAAGAACTATCCTTCAAATTGTTGACAGAACGTTAAATGTTTCAATTAACTATTTCAATTAGCTGTTCAATTTCAATTTTTATCAAACAGTTGAAACGTTATCCAGTTATGAAATGTTTTATTCAATTTATTTTAAATATCTTCAACTAAAAATCAAATAAAATCAAATATACCTATATTTCGTATACAAGATACTTTCTTGTACAAATATTGTAACTAAATGATGTATGCATATTAAAAGTTATACATCATTATATTGAAGTGAAAAAAGTTCACTAACACACACACACACACACACACACACACACACACACACACACACATACACACATACCTACAAACAGTCACACACGCTTTATATCGTATATATGTACATACGTATATACATACATATACATACATATACCTACAAGAATGTACAATAAATGTCATCTATGCTAATACACATACAGACATACTTGTATTTATATCTATCATTTGTGTTAACTATGACTATAATTGTTTGCAAACATTTAAGAGATACTTCAAATATGCATAATACATATTTATTTATATGACAAATATTTAATAATTAATAACAATCGGAAATTAACGAAGAAAGTAACATGATAACTATTGCTAATATACACAACTGTTGATGTTATGTTTAGTCTATTAATGGATTTAAAAAATAAATGAATATACACACGCAACCGAAAAGAGTTTTCAATAATTAGATATTAATAATAATTAATGCAACTTTAATGGAAACATGAATACATTTCTCAGTAACGAGAAAGTCTGTTCAAAAAGAAAGGGATATACATAGCAGGAATCGAAAAATAAACATAGATTGCCTTGCAAATGTTAATTGAACTATAAGTATCTACTCCTACATACACAAATACACGCACACGTACACGCACACGTACACGCACAAGTACGCGCACACATACACGCACACGTCCACGATGGGTGCGCGTAAATAAACTTGAAATTAATTCAAATATTGGTAAGGCTACAACAGGCTGACTTAAAAGCTTTACAAATGTGCAAAGCCTAACTGTTAATGGACTGCGCAGAGAGCAAAGCTCTCTCTCATCAATGTCGACGCCGTCATTCAACACTGCGCAGCACGAAAAAGTTTAAACAAACGGAAGGTAAATACGAAAGCAAAAGAAAGAAAGAGGAACGAATGGAAAGTTTTGTTAGCATGCCGAACAGTAGATGCTCTTTAGCTAAGCGCTTAAAAGTGTGTAAGTAAGATGATGCTATATACCACCACTGAATATAGTTGAAAATAAAATGATTCTTTAATTATTATTTGTATGCTATTATTGGTGGTCAGCCAATCGATGGACTAATCCAGTTAAATTCGTGTCACATACGGCATGACACAGTTCTGACACTCGCCCGGAGGGCATAAAAAGCTCTCTGGAGCTGCAGCTGATTGAGGCCAACTGCCGGCTGGCAGCGGCAGCAGTGTTTGGAGCGCTTGCTGCTCGATTTAGTCGAAAGTTCACTGCCAAAGTGTTAGGAAGTGCGGCGCTTGGACGTGCGTGTCGGTACGTTTGCGTGTGCCTGCATGTATATGTGTGTGTGTGTGTGTTTGTAGGTGGCGCCCGCGTGGAAAACTTGAAAAGCACTCAAATGCTCGCGCACTCTCGCACACATACAATTGCCATGTCTGTGAGCGTGTGTGTGTGTGTGTGTCGCAACCTGTTCTCCAGTTGACGAGTCTGGAACGAATTCTTTTTATTTTTTTTGTTTTTTGTTTGTGCTGAACTCAGCTGTGCACCCGGCAAACGCCCGATAAGACTTATGGATTTTTCAATAGTAGCCAAATTTATGATAGCACTAGCGTTATTATGTAATGCAGTAAATATTATTATTGTTTTGAATGCATAATCGCCGTGGGGAATGCTTAACATAGTATACACGTGTATGTGTGTGTGTGTGTGTGTGAAACTTGTTTGCAGGCGATTCGCGCACAGCTTGGGGCTGGGTCATCGCGGCCAATGATAAGCGTTCGGGGCAGCAACTGTTATTTCTTTCTGATTAACAAACAAATCAGCTGTATTTAAAATAGAAAAATGTTCTTTCTTATCTGCCCACAGAATTATACGTGAATAGTTCCAGACAGCAGCAGTAACAGTAAAAAAAAAATAAGGAAAAAATATATTTGGTAAAAATGACTGCAATACCCCGTGTAGATATTGATAGGCCCAAATATGATCAGAGCACATATTTGGGGCGTGTCAAGCATTTCATTCTGGTCACGAATCCGCTGAACGTCTTCGCCTCCAATGCGGAGCTGGAGAGGGCGCGTCAGATCGTCATCAAGTATCGGGCCGGCAAGGAGGTGCCCGAGGCCAGTTCGCTGGAGGATATATGGAAGGCCAAGTATCTGTACGATTCGGCATTTCATCCGGAGACGGGCGAGAAGCAGCTCATCGTTGGACGCATGTCCGCCCAGATGCCGATGAATATGCTTATCACGGGCTGTAAGTATGTCCCCCTCGCCTGATCTGGACTATACTTCCTTCCCAACCCATCTAACCAGCCCCCCCCCCCCCCCCCCCTCTTCTCATCTGCAGTACGCCCCCTGCCTAACAACATCTAACGATCCTCTCTCCCGACCTGGAGTGTACCACCTTCCGAACCCATCTAGCGACCTCCCTCGCCCGACCTGGAGTATACCCCCTCCCTAACCCATCAAACAAGTCCCCCCCTCGCCCGACCTGGAGTATACCCCCTACCCAACCCATCTAACGACCTCACACCTCAGCTCACTTGGAGTACACCCCCTCCCTAATCTTACTAACCACCACCCCCCCCTCCCCCCCTCCTGACCTTGAGTATACCCCCTCCCAGCCCATCTAACGACCTCGCCCCTCTCCTGAGCTGAAGATTGTGGACAATTTCAACTATTCGCTTCCGCGCGTTGATTAATAAACAACTATTAATGTATTTGTTGTTGTTTTTTTTTTATTTAGGCATGATGACCTTCTACAAAACAACGCCGGCGGTCGTCTTCTGGCAATGGTTCAATCAAACGTTCAACGCGATTGTCAACTACACGAATCGCTCGGGCACATCTCCAATTAGTCAATCGTAAGTTACCCCCCCACCCCCCAGCCTGGGCTCCAGGGAGAGATTGCCTTGTGACCCCGAACTTAAGCTATATTCTATTCCATTTGACAGACAATTGTTGACCTCCTACTGCCTGGCCACGAGCGGCGCGCTGGGCACGGCGCTCAGCCTGAACCGTGCGGTGAAGAACATGAATCCTCTGATCGGGCGCCTGGTGCCGCTGGTCGCCGTCGCAGCCGCCAATTGCATCAACATTCCTTGCATGCGGATGCAGTGAGTAGAGAGATTTGAGACTTAGCTGGAGGAGAGCTTCTAACACGGCTTGTTTATTCCGCAGGGAGCTGCGCAACGGAGTCAGTCTGGTGGACGAGAAGAATCAAGAGGTCGGCATCTCCAAGAAGGCCGCCTTTGTGGGCATCTCCGCTGTGGTGGTCAGTCGCATTGCCATGGCCATGCCCGGAATGAGTACGTTAATCTTTGAGTGCTTGAATCTTATCTAAATCCTTCTACTCCTCCTGCTCTGTTGCACAGCCTTGACGCCTCTGCTGATGGAGAAGCTGGAGAAGCGCGGCTTCCTCAAGAGATATCCGCGTGCCAATGCGCCGATCCAAACGCTTTTCTGTGGCTTTGTTCTGCTCTTTGCCACGCCCCTGGGCTGTGCATTCTTCAGCCAGCGGGCGGCCATCAAGGTGGACTCCCTGGAGGCGGAAGTGCGCGATTCCATCAAGAAGAAGCGTCCCGAACTGGACACAGTGTGGTACAACAAGGGCTTGTAAGTCGGCAAAATTTTCATTGTAGTTGAAGTAAAAATTTTTAGTGATTTTTGTGAGTTTTGTGGTGGACAATACCCTTTATCTTAGGACTTGTTTATTAACTCAACATGCATTTAATATATTTTTAAGCATTAAAATATCGTTATTTCTGTGTTACGGTAAATATTGTCTCTTTTAGTCAGAACATAAGAATTTATGTGAATTAGTCAAATATTGCAACAATTAACTCAAAGCGTGTGTTTATATCAATGAAGCATTAATCATATATGAGATATTGTTAATAAAATGTATTAATGTAAATAACTGTACATAATTCTTATGCAATTCAAACGATCAACGTATATTTTTTCAAATCCAACTGTTCCTGTGCAGCCCTGCCATGCTGCAGCAATCAGCTTTTGACAGCGATGTTATTTGTCACTAAAAATACCAAATGAAGTTAAATTGCAAAAAAATACCATTCAATTAAGAACGAATTAGTGGGTTTTTTTTTAATGAGCAATAAATATGTATGTATGTATTACAAATAAATTAGCTGTGTGGTTGCAACCGAGCAGGCCTTAGATTTTTACAAATAAAAATAGTGCCACATATATCGATAACTTTATCAAATCAACTGAGTGCACACTTGTCTATCGATACATTAATACCACTATGTGATAATCAATTAGCACGAAAAAATACCAAACGGATTGAGTTGAGCGCATTTTGTGACGCAGTCATTGAATGTTTTAAATTAATTAATTAATAATACTAAATGGAAAACGCGTCGACTTTAAACAAAAGACGCTCACTTACGCTCAGCAGCAGACTACTTCAGAAACGACACAGTGGTAAGTTCCAGCGCTGCTCTGCTGAGTTATAATACAATTAAATATCAAATGCAGCCTCACCTCAAAGTCGCGTTCGCGCCAGCGCATCACAGGAAGCTGCAAATGATGGAGACTCGCCCAGATCTTCCGCGGTGAATATTGGCGACAATGTTGAGAGCACGCCGCCCAGCAAAAAGAATCACACATTGGACGACAGCCTGGACTTTTCGCCGCGCAACAGCCTCTCGCCCAGCTGCCTGTTCTCTCAGACATTGGTCAGCGGCAGCCCGGAAGTCGGTTGGCGCTGGAACTGCGATAAGAATGGGCGTGGCGATAAGGTGAACACCACCTCGGACAGCGGCTTTGATTCGGAAGAGTTCGGGCCGAATGCGTGCAAGCAGAAGGATCGACGCAAACAGGTGCGAGACGCAGCCAATGAGCACAGGCGCAAACAGTTCGAAAGCAGACAATGGCGGGCGCAGCAGATACGTGACCATGAGCTGCTCAAAGAGCGCTGTGACAAGCTGCACAGGCAGCTGTTGGATCAACAGACTGTGGCACCGGCAGCGACAGCTGATGCCGAAATAGCTGCAGGTGCTGTGGAGGATCCCGCCTTGGCCGATTTCCTTAACGATTCCGATACGGATTGCTTTCTGATTGAGGCCTCACAGCAGCTGGAGTCAAAGCTGGCGCCAAAGCAGACGCCGAGGCAGACGCCGGCTGTAACCACGCCCACCAGCCATCACAAGAGCCACAAGGAGAAGCAGTCCTCGTTCTATATGAAGTTTCTGGAGGATGAAAGCGAAACAGAGGATTGGTTTCTTGCCCTCGACGAGGCCATGCTGGAGGCTACAAATCCCAAGAAGCCGCGCCTCGCCCTGCAGCGTTACAAATCGATGCCGAGCAAAACAGCCGGCGATGACAGCGCTAGCTGCAGTGCGTCCACAGCTAAGCGCTGCATCAACTCCGCCTCCTCCTCCGCCTCCTGCTCCGCCGCCAATGCAGGCATGCCAGTATCAGATACGCCACGCATAAAACGTCACGCCAGCACACACGCCCTGTCGCCCGCTACCTCAAGTGGTAAATGATGGCTTAGTTCCCATTTCATATTTATCACAAATATATAAATATCTATACTTTTAGCAAGAGGCAATCTTTTTGGTAGGCGGCCTTAGACAATGCCTTGACGCCCACAATAAATTGTTCCAACGGCTTCCCATCTACCTGTACCGAATGTGATGCGCAAAAAGTTGGGTGTGCTCCAAGTTTCGCTCGCCTCTTTGTTCCTCGTTATTTCATTGGAGATGTATACGTTAATTGAATCCATATACTCTTAAGATACTTGTTTAATTAGAATTGAAGCTCAATTAAAACTTAATTGTAATTTAAACCTGCTGCTCAATTGCCATCGAGCCACGGACCATATGTTCCAGCTTTTGGAGATTTGAGAGGTTGGATTGCGACAATTGCGCAGGACAAAGCGACAGAGCGCCAGATTTAATATCGAGCGCCTTCCTGTGACGTCGGAGCATTGTCTAATGAAGACCCAAACCAATAATATTGTGTGTCCAAACAAGCTTTATACAAATTTCAATGAATAGTTATAGTTCTTAATAATTAGTAAGGTATGGTATTGTTTAGTTGTCGAACTTAAGGTTATGATGCATAAACTAACTAAATAGTATTTTAGCTAAGTTAATGAATAACCTTTATAAATGTACCTCTAAGGCTCCCAAGAGTTTTTTTAGTTTAATTATTATTAAGCTCAAAGAATATGGAATAGATATTTAAGTCTTACAATGTTATTTTAAGTTTTACTTTACAAATATTTATTATTTAAATAAATGCAAAATATATTGGCACAAAATAATAAAATATTTTTAAACAAATATTTATTATAAACATAAATGCATAAAATATTGAAAAAAATATTTAAGTATTTTCACCATTAACGGTTAATTATTATCAAAATAAATCTATAAAATATTGGCACAAAATAATAAAATATTTTCGCTCATTTAACGGCAGATTATGGCCAAATGAATGTGAATATGTAAACTTTTAAAGGGACGATAGCTCACAATCATAAATAAAGAAGGTTTAATGCGCGCTTTCGGCCGTAGCCCATTTCATTGGGGCTAAGGTCAAAGTTGAAGCTCTTTTCAGCTATTATACTCTTAAGACCCAATTCAAACGGCCATACATACACACATACATGCGTAAGCATATGAACATATACATATATGTGAGTGCGTGCGTATGTATTGCCTTTTGTGAAATGCAACGAATCTGGAACATAAAGTATGCTGCCATATGTTGACAATGCGCAGCATAAACCAATCGCAGCCGAGCAACAAGCCGAGCAATCGACAAAAAAAAAAAGAAAAAAAAGGAAAAAACAAAACAGAATAGGCGACAACAGTTAGCGCGGAGCCAGAGGAATAGGTATACAAGGAATACAAAAAAAACAGAAGCAGCGGGTCAACTAAATTGGTGACGTCTACAAGGCGCAAACCAAGCTGCAAAAGTAACAACAACAAAGCTGAAGTGAACAAAGAGCTTAAAGGAGCAGCCAGCTGGGCGTGCGAGCAGCACAGCACTAGCGCGACAAATGAAATGCACTCTGTGTGGGCGCCAACTGTTCAGGGGTGTGGGCGCTAGCAAAGCTTTCGTCGAGCTTTTCACAAATGCTTTCGTTAGCTGCCTTGCCGTTCGTATATTCATAATGGCGTCCACAACCGACGCAGGCAAACAGTTTTCAGCGCGCAACGCCAAAGTGAAGTTCGTGGCAGCGCATAACAAGCCGCTAATCGCAGCCACACAGCGCAGACAAAAATTAATTTTATAAAGCACAACTGCAGTAAGAAGAGACCAGAAATAATATTATAATAAATTGTCCAAGCAACGTTAAGGCTTACAAGTTTTATGTGTTGCCGGCCTTTAAAGGATTTCGAACGTACGAATTTTGCTGGTGGTCAGTGAAGCGCGGCCTTTATTTTTGACATTCCTTCTCGAAAGCCCACGTTTCCACCACTGAACCAACAAAAAGAGTGTGCACGAATTTGTGGCGCCAGCGTTGCCCCATCGTCGCAATTGTGAACTGAACAGCAAACAGACTCAAAAGGAAAATAGCAGAAAAAAATAAGCAAAGAAACACAACTAACAACAACAACAACAACAACTTGCAAGGCGAAACACGTGAAATGTTCATTGCGGCAGCTGCATGGAGCTTTGCTGCTTCATGGCGACTGCTCTGCATCGGGATGCTGGTGCTAGCGATGCTGCTGCCGCTGCTGATCGGCGAGGCCGACGCCGCTGCCAGCAGCGTCACCGGCGGCCTGGGTAATCAGGCCGTCTTCACCAGCTCATTTCTGGTGCGTTTCCGTCGGGGCGTTGACAATGACTTCGCCCACCAGGTGGCCGACAAGTATGGTTTCGACAATCTAGGACCGGTAAGTAACTAGTCAAGTACAGTGAATGCTCGCGTTAACTGACTCAAACCTAAAAAAAAAAAAACTCAATTACTATGCATGTGAATGAGAAAAAAAGCAATTAGTTAATTCTTTCTACAAATTTTACCGTTAAGGAAGTTGCTTGTCTTTTGCAAAGAGTATAAGAAACAGACAAGTCGAAAATATTAGCCGCATCAAGAAATGGCTGCTCAAGGGAGCTTTCACTGTACTCCTTACCTATTACAAAAGACCAGTTCGTCGTTTGCTGTGAAAAATCAATTATTCTATGTTCCGACGGCTCGTGCAGGTTTTCCGCCCAAAAGTGACAAGCAGCAGCAACAATAACAATAACAACAACAACAACAACAACAACAACAACGCGGTCTTCAAGGGCTGCTTTTTTAATTGTGGCTTCTTAAGTGGGTGTGTATGCGTCTGCATGTGTGCATGTGTGCATGTGTGCATGTGTACATGTGCATGTGTGCATGTGTGTGGATGGGCGCGTGCCCTGGCATACAAAACATTACAAAGTCTAAAGTCAGCTGCGGCTTTGGCCAACTTCCGGCTGCCACGCGGCAATTTTTCGTTGCATATCGTCTAGGCGCAACTTTTCAAACATTTCGTGTTGCATGTTGCATGTGGCAAATGGGCACAAGGCCAGCAACTGCAGCATGTAACTGTATGTAATAGCATACTATATATATATATATATATATAACATTTTTACATGTCGCTCTTGGTATTTATTTGCGCTGACAGCGCCAAAAATAGTACACAATGAGTCACAGGAATTGAATGATATCTCGCTGGCCGTCTGCTGCTGACAGCTATTGTGGTTGGCCCACTTGTTGCATATGCTGGTGGCAACATCAGCGACAACTCGACAACTCAACAGCTCGACAGCTCGAGTTGCAGCCTTATACTGGCCGAAAAATTAATTGGCCGGCATGTTGCCTTAATTAGGTAGCCGGGCCGTCAATAACATTATATCAGGGTCAACAATTGCGTCAATAAAGAAATATGAAGCAGGCGCCAAATCCAATTAGTTTATACGCTCTTCATTATTTATATAATGCTGATTTATGTGTAAGTTAATACGGTCGGACTTGTCCACGGCGTTGCCCTTGCTGCGCCCCATTCCGACGACCAGTTACCTGAGACACGCCATTCTCCTTGGCCCCACTCTGCTGCTAACATTTATTACCCATAGTTAGACGCAGCTGCAACTTGGCATCGTCTGGCTCTGATTGCAGGACAGCCACCTTAACAAGGTCATTACGTTGCACAATCCAATTCAGGGGAAGTGTTCACGTAAGGGAATTCCTTTGTGCCTCGAATTGCAAATTGGTCTTCATTTTATGCCAGACGAGAGCACCTGGAACTGCTCGAATTTTGGTTCTTAGGAAGAAAGAGTTATTTTTGATTTTAGGGCCATAAAAGCTTATAAAAAACACATAGTTTAGACTCTAGTTAGTGAGCTTGGTTAGTAACAAACCTTAAATCTGTTATTAAATACGAATTCGTATATTAATAATATCAATAAAAGTTTAGCAAATGTCATGAAGAACGCAAGAGATGCGATAATTTAATCTGTTCAAATTAAAAAAAAAGGACAAAATTCTTAACTTCAATATTTGTTTATTTCATAATGGAAAAAACCAAAATTCAATCCGGCCAATCCCATTCAGCCTGTCTTTTTGTTTACCATTCGTTTATAATGTTTATTTAAATTTTTTTTTATTTAAGAAAAGAGTTTTCGCACCACCCTCAAATAAATAAATCAGATATTGAGAGTATAATTGAAAATATACGTATATTCTATGGCATAATAAGATCTACTGCTGAAAATTTGCTCAAGATTGGTTGAGAAATATAATGAAAGCGGTTCAGGGTATTTCCTAGTCGGGCACACCCCACTAGAGCACTCTAATTTATGTTTGCAAGATATTCACTAGCCGCATTTATCGCCCATCTCTTGCATTCTTAATTACATTTGCTGTGACCTTTTTTTTATTATTATTGCTGCGAATTCTTGGAATTTTTAACAGAAAGAGTTGTGCTAGTTCTGGGCTAGGTCCTTGGCTTGTTTATAAGAATAACTAGACTAACCCACTCCACACATATCGCATTACTTTATAAAGGAATAGATGCTTATTGTAGGAAAGTGAAATAACGAACAAGAATAATGTTTGTAAAGCTTCTGTTAATTTTGAAAAAATACAAAATATATTCGACCAGTAACTTTTTGCCTTGGGCTTCTTACATATTGCAAACAAATATCATAACTGTATTGATTCGAGAGAGTATTATCTATATTTATTAGAAAATTGTTGGCATCTACCACATTTTGTTTATTTATTGAAACCAGCACAATGTGGAGTTCTATGATTCTATATTTGTAAAGTCCGAAATTGTATTTAAACTCTCGACAATCCATTCGCTCAGTTCAACCGCTCAAAAGTATGGCAAATATCGAATCTCTCAGTATCGATGTTGTCTTTACGGTTCCAAGATCAACACAAAACATACATCGCTTATTTTTTTATACATACATCAAACGTCCATACATCAATACATCATACGTTCTTTTCTTATTAAATATTTACTCCTTTAATTATCCAAACAACAAAGTTTATCGAGAGACCTTTATGTTTCCATTAATCAAGTAGCTGAGCGAAGCATTATTCAGCTCTCTCTCTCTCTCTCTCTCTCTTTCTCCCTTTCTCTTTCCATTTGCAACCTCCATTCTCCATTCTGTATGATTAAAAATGATTTCCCAAAACTCTGAATATCATTTTTTCTGGTTTTCCACATTTATATATTATATTTTTTGGTTACATTAGCACTTTTACCCTTGAATTTTAATTATTTGTTAACAAATATTTGTTAATTACTTAGCCCACATTATTTTTTGGGTTATCTTTTTATACCCTGTACCCACTGAAAGTGAATTAAAGAGTAATGAGTATGTGCAAATGTATGAAACAGGCAGAAGGTTTCACGTCGGCTACCATAAAGTATATATATATTCTTGATCAGGGCGACGAGCTGAGTCGATTAAGGCCTGCCCGTCTGTCCGTCTGACTGTATGTATGATTGCGTCGATCTGGGATAACCAAAGATATATAGATTATATAGCCAGAGGTAAATAGTATAATTTTGCACAGATTTAAATAAATATCCTAATTGAGTTTAAAATAAATTTGTTGTGAATTTCACGATTGAGGGAATTCAAAGCGTAGCAGCACGCTAAAATATTATATTGACTGAGGGTTAACAGAGTATTTTGTCGT